TATTGCGGGGAAGAGACGACCATACATAAGCTCAACTCAACATCTTTTAATGTTCACCTCGTGGTCTCGACATACCTCCCATAATACTTTACTAGTGTTCAATCTCCTAACAACATGCTTTTAAGTATCTGTACCATGATTTGTTTTTGCAAGTTTGGAAGGTTGACTAACTTCTACAGACTTTGCCTTACTAATACAAACTCACAGTTTTTTTTTATTTCTTAAAATGAACAATTGGTCCTCTCTCAGAATACCTTTCCAAACAGTCAGTCACTCCTGAAAACAACAACAACTGTGCTTCCAAAGCCTGGCTATGCCCCTATCTGTAACAGTTTTGTGAGGTGTTATTAGAATATAACTCTCCAATTTCAACTTCATTTCTGAACAAATTTTGCCTCAAACCTCAATCTTTTAAATTAAATGTCTGATTTAAAATAAATATAAAAATCTACCCATTAACAACCAGTCAACATCTGTCCCATGACTGGGTAGTAATAGCTGTGTTTTTTGAGTTTGTAGATTAGGCATCAAAGATATTTTAGCCTCAAAATTGGATTACTGAGAGTGTACTAGACTTGGAGCAGCCCCCAGGGATTGATATTTCATGGATTATACGTTCTTTGATCTGGAGAGGACACCAAGTGAGGGCAAGGAGGTTTGATGACAGTTCCAGCAGGGTAAACATTACATTCCCCATTGTCAGCATGTGCAGCTATTGTGTCTTCCTCTATGTCTATCCCATACCTCATGGCTACAGTCTGAATGGTCTTCTTCAGCTGCTTGGCTGCCAGCAATTCGAAATCAGCTTTTCATGTACAATCCTCTTTGGATTGTCCTCTCAAAGGACAACCTATGTGCCTTCATTTCATGCCACTTCTGTGTGTCAGCCTGTTCTTGGGTTTCCTCCTCATACAAATGAGGCAAGAGTTTTCAGTGTGGACAAATTTTAGGAGTTGGATGAAGATGTCAACATCTAAACTGGGTTCCCAGGCAGGTTTACTTGTGATTATTTAACAGCATGACATATGATCCTACCTTTCTCCATAGGGATTTTGTCCAGTGGAATGAACACCCTTTAAGCTGCACATCTGGGAGGTTCTGGCAGAGGGCGCTTCAGACAGCTTTTTTGAAATCCAGCATTACTTTAGTGACTCTCAGTGGATGAGGGAGGATGGATGTAATGGCATCAAGGACTGCTTTGTAGTCTTACTATTTTTTGCGAGACATTATGA